GTGGACCCACTTCTCAGTGGCTCTCCTGAGAGTTAATCTCTGCCATGCAGCAAAGGCTGGGCTCGTCCTTTTCCTTTCCCTTAGCCTCCCCTGCCATACAGTCCTGCACACACCATTCCCCGGTAATGTAGCATCTTGCCAGTACAAGTGTTGGCTGCATTTTTTCAAATCCTGAGTTTCAGGCCAATAGCTGCTCTTCTAGGAGAACTAATCTATCTTCCTTGGTTTGCATTTTATACAGGTATTACCCCCAGCAGTAGCAGTCGGACCAGGACTCCAGCTTCCATTAATGCTACTCCAGCTAACATTAACCTGGCAGGTTAGTGCAGGCCTTTCCTGGTTGGAACTGGGACGTGAGCTTCTTTGCTTCGTTTTAACATGATGGGTCTTTCTTGCAGACCTGACCCGTGCAGTGAACGCTCTACCACAGAACATGACCTCCCAGATGTTCAGTGCCATCGCTGCTGTGACAGGCCAGGGACAGAACCCAAATGCCACCCCTGCACAGTGGGCATCCAGTCAGTACGGCTACGGAGGCAGCGGAGGCGGCAGCAGCGCATACCACGTAGGTGACACTTAAGTTTCTGAGAGGAGGGGTTACTCATTGCCTGGGATCATCCAGTCCTAGTTGTGTACCCATGGTGCTGCATGGAGGAGCCTGGCTGGATTCCTGAACCGTATTTTTTTCTCCCCTCCTGTGGCTGAGGAAATGAGGGACCTAACCCAGCCCTGCTCTGGGGAGAGTTGAAGCAAGTAGTGAATTGGTCTGGCCCCCAAGGAATGTGGCAGGGTGGAGATGTGGGATCCAGCGGTGAGGGCGCGCAACCTTTTGATTGTGCCCCTGAATTGGCAACGTGAGCTGCCAGTGGAAGAGATTAGCTGTGAAACTATGCGCTGAGTTTGCAGGGCTTTTCAGCTCAGCGTGCTAATCTCCGAGCTGCACCGGCAGGCGAACTCCTCAGCCTGACCGAACACCCAGAAACTGTGCAGGGAGTAAGATGGAATTGGAGGGGTTTGGCTCATGCTGAGGACTTTCCTCGTGTGTGCCGATGCCTACCTCCTCCCAGCACAGCCTGCCAGCTCCCCAGGTGACACTGAGGTGAAATCCAGCTGCAGGAGGACTGAGGTGCCTGGGTACAAAAAAAATGCACCCAGCTGTTAGACCTAAGGAAGAAGTGCTGCAAGACAAGGCTTGCAGGGAGGAGTGATCCTCTTCTAGACCACCTTGGGAGGCTTTCACAGTTTGGCACAGTAAATGCTGAGCTGGGGATAGGCAGGGACTGCGAATAACCCAATGTATTAATCATCAAGACAATCTGAGGGGAAAAAGGTGGGGAACACCGGGAGGCAAAGAGACTAAACGCTCTGTTGGACAAACAGTGAGCCAGACAGCTCGGGGTGTGGGAGGGAGCCATCTCAGGAGTTGTTATACTTTCCCCACAGCCCACAGGGGAAGAATTCAGCTGTTCACGCCCACTGCAGGACCTCATTTCTGCCAGCTTGCTCTAAGTGTCTCTTGCATCCATCTCTTCAGCCCTTACCTTTCCTTGGCAGAAGCATCTCCCCTTGTACCTTGTGTGGGGTGAACAAGGAGGGCAGGTTGTGGTGGCCGTGCTGGCCCAGCGTGGGTGGGCAGTCGGGGGCTCTGAGGAGAACAAACATCCTGTGCTCAGCGGGGCGTCTCTCCCTCTGCTCTGCAGCCCCCCGTTCCCTGGGCAGTGGTCGCTGCAAACCTCTCCTTGCCCCGATGAGGGGCTCCAGCGGGGCCGGGGGTGTGCAGCAAGGCAGAGCATGCTCCAGCCTCCTGGGCGAGTAGGGCTGTGCAGAGCGTGCCAGACCTCTGCCCCACAGCCTAGTGGAGTTTGTCCTCTGTCCCCTAACAGCATCTGCTCTCTGCAGGTCTTCACGACTCCAGCACAGCAGCCGGTGGCCACCCCTCTGATGACCCCCAGTTACTCCTACACTACCCCCAGCCAGCCGATTACAACACCCCAGTACCAGCTCCAGGCCAACACCACACCCCAGTCCACCCAGTCCCAGACACAGTCACAGCCGTCGTCCAGCTCCAGGCAGAGGCAGCAGCCAAAGTGAGTGGTTCCAGCGCTGGGTGCATGTATCCATGTCCTGTCTTGATCGTTTTTGTTGATTTTTTGGGGGGCGGGGGGGGGGGGCAGAATTTTTCTGGTGAGGTTACCTTGCACCCTCCTGCGTGGGGCCCTTGGGGAGGGAGGGCAGGGAAACCCTCCCGCTCGCGTGTCTCACCTTCCGCCCGTGTTGCTGCAGGACCAACAGTCACGCTGCCATCGACTGGGGGAAGATGGCCGAGCAGTGGCTCCAGGAGAAGGAGGCCGAACGGAGGAAACAGAAGCAGAGGTTGACTCCTCGCCCATCTCCCAGCCCCATGATCGAGAGCACGCCCATGTCCATCGCTGGGGACGCCACGCCGCTGCTGGATGAGATGGATCGATAGGCTCTGCCGGACCTGACCCCCAACCCCCCCCCTCCCTTCTCTAGGAAGGGGAAGGGAGAGTGAACAGTTGAAAACAACTTCCCTTCCCTTTAGCCACATAACTCCTGTTTTATAGGTCGTGAGATGGTGCAAAATGACTCTTGGTGACATGCACCTGAGCAAATGAATAGACTTGGCAGGGCTGGTCTAAATATATATACTATATAAATATAAATATATCATAGGAAAGAACGCTGCAGCAGCCTCTATGTTCCAGGCCCTGGTTCACCACTTTGGAAGCTTGGCAAAGTAACGATGAAATCAGAGTCTGCCCTTGTACATGCACAGCAGTCTGCTTTCACCACAAAGACTAGGAAGCAAACCAAGCTAAAATTGCAGACTACCGGCCTGGAGTGAGCCTGTTTCATTTGGATTCTCCCAAACCCTGACTGTCACTTCTCCTTGTCCTGAGTACCAAGCAAGGGGATTGTGACAGGCAAACCGGAGTTCTCAGAAAGTTTCTGTTGTTGTTTGCTCTGTGTTTTTGTGTGTATCAGGCTCTGGGGAGTCTGTGCCAGCCCCTAGCTGTGTTCATAGGGATCTAGCACAGCAGCTCTGGGGCTCGGGGTCTTGCTGGAGAGAAATGCAGCTGTCATACCAAAGGCTTGCTCTCTCCTCTGGCTTCTTTTGGAACAATATTTATTTAGTTTTGATTATTTTTGTTGGTTTTTTTTTTTTTTTTAATCTGGCAGCATTCCTGAGCATGAGATAGACACATGGGCTAAAACCCTGCAAAAGGCCTGTGTCTCTCTCTAGGAGACGTACTTGGTGGGTCTTAGAGGGGGGCAGATAACCAACTGGTCATGTCCAAACCAGCCCACTGCAGTATTGCAGAGAGCCCGCCAACGCTGAGAGCCATGTCTGAACTGGAAAGTTCCTGCTGCACAATTTTCCTCTCCCCTGCTTTGTTAGTAAGGATTTTCTATGGAAGCAGAGTCTTTGTTCCTTCCAAGTGCTCCTGGTTAGCCTCCTCTCCTAGGAAATGAGCAAGAACAGCAGATCTTAAGAAACAAAGGTCTTCTTTGCATCTAAATGCTCCTGAAGAGTGGCAGCAACCCGGGAGACAAAGCAAAGCTGTTTCCACAGAGAAATGCAGGTCCTGGCTTCCTCCCTATCCTCTCTGCAGTACTGGGGGGCTGACACAGTCCTGTTCCAGCCCGGGCACAGTGCAGGCCAGGCCTGAGGACTTGTGTGCCAGGTCCCACAGCTGCCGTAGGTTGCAGGTGTACTAACCTTAACGCTGGTTTGGTTTTTTTTTTTTAATTTTATCCAAATCTGTATGATGGGGAATTTAGGAGCAGCTCCTTACCAGGGATGTGTCAGACCCATACAGCAGGGCAGGGGGCCTAGTTGTGCATTGTTGGCTCTTTTTTGGCTGTCTTTGTTTTTAGTTTCCCCTTACCGTCAATAAAAATTCTACTTTTGGGAAGCTGCCTGCGTGCCACATGTCCGTGCTTCCTGCAGTGACGCTGTGGTTGCCACAAGGACTTTGCACCCATTAGCAGTGCTGGGGGGGTGTGTGATGCCTCACTACAAGGCTGGTATTTCCCTCCCCCCCGGCTCTTGTGGTCTGCTTATTGCAGGGATTTGGGATGGCAGTGCAGGCTGCTGTGGGAACAGTGGGGTTTGCAGGGGGCAGCTGTGCTCTCTGGGCCTCGTCAGGGCAAAACAAGAGACGGCGCTCGGCTGCTGTCCCTCCAGCTTTTTCCAGTTCTGGAATTGGTGCTGGTGTGGGAAGATCTTTCTATCGGCTTCACTGGGTGGGAGAGGGGAGGCCGTGCCCAGCTCCACCTCCTCGTTTGGAGGAAGGACTCCTTGCAGGAGTCTGTGGCAATGCCCCGTCTCTGGGTGCTGCCCTCCCAAACGCTTCACTACAGGAGCCCAGTTAAACATTCCGGCTGCGATGACCATCCGCCAGGCAGCTTGCCCTGCCCCTGCCTCTCCCCAGGCACCATCTGCCTTTGTCCCAGGGCTGGAAAAGCTTCTATTGTCCCACTCCAATGAGCTCTTATCCCTCCTCGGAGGCTCCTCAGAAGGCCCCTGCACCTCCCAGAGCAGCCGCTGCTGCTCGATGCAATGGCTGGGGGCTGGAGAAGGAGTCAGTGCTGGTGTAGGAACGCTGGGAAAAGGCAGGGGGGGTAAGTGGAGGAAGGAGCTGGGGTGGTGCCAGTCTGGAGAAATACACCTGTGGGGAGCTGAAGCTCAACCCTCCATGTCAGGGGAGCTAAAATCTGGGCTCTGCCCTATGCTGGCACAGGGATGGGAGCAGCCAGAGCAGTAACTCGCCATCCCCTGTGCCCAGGAAGATGACAGGAGCTGGAGGGAGCAGTGAGGAACAGCTCAAACCTGCTCAAAACCCACCCGGCTCCAGGTGCTTCCCCTCCCGCAGCCCTGCAAGCAGGATCAGCCCTGGAATTTCCCCTGGAAGCTTCCCCCCTGTGTGATCCTTTCTCCCACAGACACGAGGCCGAGGCTGCACCATCTGCTTGAGCAACCAGCTTTATTACACAGCCAAGACCCGCACGGGGCGAGGGGGAGGTCAGGGCTGCAGCTCTCATGCAGGCTTGGCCTCAGCTTTGTTTTTCAGCCTCTTCTTTCTGTTTCTTTCCTTCCTCCTTCTCTTCCCGCTGGCAGTGGGGACCAGGGATGGGGGGGCCAGCACTGGGTCCCTGTCCAAGCCCTCCCACACCGGAGCATCACTCAGGATGGTGTTGGCCGCTTCCCCCAAGCCCAGCAGTGGGGCCTGTGGGTCCTGCCCCACAGTGGGGTGAGCAGGAGCAACGGCTGCGAGGTGGCTCAGGTCCCCCTTTACAGAAGGGCCTTTCTTTTTCAGACCTTTCTCCTTTTTCTTGTCTTTCTTCTTCCCCTTCCTCTCTTTCTTGGCTGCTTTGGGGTGGGACAGCGGGCGGGCGGGTGCATGATGCTCCCCTAGGTTGGGTCCTCCACCTGCACTGCTCCACGGGGGGCTTAGGGGGACCCCCTCGGGCCTCGCAGCCCGGTCGATCAGCTCCCCCCCAAACTCATACAGCACTGGCTCCCTGGGCACCGCGATGGCCACTGTGTTGTATGCCTTGCACCTGCAGAAAGCGAGGAGACAGGGGGTGAGGGAAGCCTCGGTGGGGCCAAGGAGGGGGGGCTGGTCCCTGTGGTGGGGGACACTCACCAGACGTAGAGGTAGGGCTCCACACATTCCTCCTTGTAGGCAAACTCGAAGCAGGGCACCTGGATGACGTTGAAGAAGGCCTGGCCCACCACCCGCGAGGCCGTGTCGTTCACCCGCCGCAGACATTCCTTCAACCTGCCGCGGGGCACAGACGGGGTGAGGGGGGCCGGGGACAACCCCCCCCGGGATGGCGGGGTGCTGCGGGGCACAGCTCACCTGAGGTCGCAGTCGCAGTGGCTGATGGTGTGCCAGCGCAGGTTGCGGTACCCGTAGCGGGCAGTGAAGGGGTGGATGACGTGCTGGCAGTGGTCATGGTCCCGGCAGCACCGGTCCGTGTCCCGGTGCTCCCCTGTAGGGAAGGCAGGGCTGCAGGCAGGGCTGGAGGGGCCTGCATGCATGGGCTGGGGCTAAACGGGGTTGGGATCAGGGCTAGACTGGGGCTGAGCTGGACTCGGAATTAGTTTGGACTGAGATGGGACTGCGGTCAGGCTGGGATGGGTAGGGGCTGGGACTGGACCAGCACTTGGATGGGGACTGGGGCTGCACCAGCACCACAGCAGGGATGAGACTGGGACTAGGCTGGGATCAGGATGAGGACCAGGACTGGACCAGAACCAAGAGAGAGACTAGGCTGGGATAAGGATAGGGACTTGGGTGGACCAGGACTGGACCAGCACCGGGATGGGGACCAGAATGCGAGCAGGATGGACCAGGGCCAGGCTGGGGACAGAGAGTGAATCAGGACTGGATCAACACCGTGGGATGAGGACAATGATGGGACCAGTGTGGGGACCAGGATGGACCAGTCCTATGATGGGAACTAGACAGAGGTGGACTGGGACTGGACCAGCACTGGGGTGGGGACTGGGACGGGGCCAGGGTGGGGGAAAGGAAAAGGAAAGGAAAAGAAAAGGAAAGGGACAGGTAGCAGCGGCCCCCCCGCCCTTACCCAGTTGCTCGTAGGCATCCGCGTTGCTGCCC